CGGGAGCAGGAGGCAGAGCTGGACCCCAAGGTTGAGGGGCTTTCACCCAGCCCCTAGAGCCTGGCACTTTGAATTTGGACTTAAAACCTCTAAATTGTAAGAGCATAAACTCCTGTTTGTTAAGGCCTTCCCATTTGTGGTATATTCTTGTCAGAGCGGCACTAGGTAACCAGAACACCAGGGATTCCAAAAGTACCTCTACTTTTATCTACTTTTATATGTTGAGCTTCCGTACAATCTCATTGGAAAAAGAAAAAGGGAGATCTTGTCATTAAAAAGTAGCTTGGGAAATACTAGCATAGGCTGTTGTAGAGGACTAGCAGCTCTGGGATAAATATTCATAACTCTTGCTGCCGTGCAGTAACGAACACAGACAGCTTGGCACATCTGGTGCTCACAAGGCCAAAAGCAATGTTGCTAGTTCAGTGGCATGCCATCAGGAATCTCCACATGGTTTGTGACAAGAGAGCTGAATGGTTCAGTATCATCTCAAACTGGGACCAGGGCGAAAAAGAGAATTTCTTACAAAGATTAGACAATAAATTTAAGTTGTTAGAAGTTGGCCACCTGCCATGTACACATAGGCAATGAATGATAGTAGCTGTTTGCTCTGGATCATATTTATTTATTATTTTTTGAATGGAAACTGCTTTTGGATGGATGCTTGTGATCAGGCGAATACATGTAGATAGTGAACACTGTCCATTACATCTAGGTAACACTTTAGGGTAAAGAAAACGTGTTCTACCATACCTTCACCAACAGGAAGTGGATCTGGTCCCGTTTTTTCAAAGTTAATAACGACACCACTCTGAACCTTTTGAACTAGCGATTCTAAACACTGATTCAGCATTCTTTGTGTTCTGACACAATAGGAGCGACCTATACCAGAAGGAAAAACAAATGATATAACTTTGATCAAATAAAACATTATTTAATAACAGCAGTTGAAATCCTAAAATATGACTTGAAACAGTCATTGTTACATTGGCAGTGAATGTTAAATCCCATGAGGTTAAAATAAATCCCTCTCAATTATTTTGAAAGGAGATCTTGTGGTGAGGTGGTTAATGCATTTGGCTGCTAACCAAAAGGTTGGCAGTTCAAACCCACTAGCTGCTCTGCATGAGAAAGATGTAAAAGAATCAACTAGAATGGCAGTGGGTTTTTTTAAAATTTTCTTTAAACTATTTTGAGGGAAAACAAGTAAAGATTAGATATAGCATTTAATGAAAACTAGGGCATTTCTCTCCTAAACTACATTTTAAAAGTAGTATTGGTTTTGTTAGCTGGCATAACTCATAGCAATCCCACGTGACAGAACAGAACAGTCCCATAGGACTGTCTGGGCTGTAATCTTTAAGAAAGCAGATCGCCGGGTCTCTCTCCCATGGAGCTGGGAGAAAAAAAAGGAAGTAATAGCAAGGACCTCTGGTAGTGTAGCATTTGGCTCCAACCCATAGAGGTCAGTGGTTCAAACCCAACAGCTGCTCCGTGGAAGAAAGATGAGGCAGTCTGTGACCCTAAAGATTTACAGCCTTGGAAACCGAACGGGGGTTGCTATGAGTCAGAATCGACTCAATGGCAGTGAGTTTGTTTTTTGGCATTATTATTTATTTATTAAAAAAATTAATTGTTTTGGTTGCAGTGTTTCCTTCCCTCCCCACCGCCCCCAGTAACTAACAGGTTTTTTTGGTTTAAAAGTCACAGTAATGGACTCAAGCACACCAAGGATCAGGAAGATGGTGCGGGACTGGGCCGTGTTTCACTCTGTCACACACAAGGTCACCATATGAGCGGGAGGCGACTGGACAGCAACCAACAGCCACGTGCTTTGCCTTTCTGAATTCTCTCTTCAGAAAGATGCACTAGCAACATTATTACCTCCTGTGACTTCGCACATCTGTGTGATGGCAGACACGTCAGTTGGTACACTCCCTAGTAGCTCTGGTTCAGTTGTAGCCACTCCAGGCAAACGCAACACCAGGGCAAATAACCTTTGATCCCAACGGAAAGGTTCTTTGGTTAGTTCACTTCCAGGCAGAGGAGAATTCAAAGGAAGATAAAGCTGACAAAGCAAAAATGGAGAAGGTTCAGCTCAACAGTCCACACCCGAACAGAGAAAGAGTTGAAGGGCCCACTTTGCTTTCACGTAACTCAAATGAGGCACTCTTTCATGGATTACCAAGATGGAAGGCTTGATACAACTTATACAGAACTAGAAATACATGCCCACCCCCCACAGGAAAAACAAAACCAAAACCAAAAAAATTGCATGCTCTCTGCCATTTAAATGGAATGTAAAAAAATTCAGTCTCACCTCTTCTTGAACACCAGCTGTACTTGTCAACTTGTTTCCATCTGTGATGGTTATTAAAATAGATGGTTCTAGAAAAAATGGATTTCTACCCTAAAATACATTTAAAAAGTATTAGAACTGCATAAAGTAATACAATTTTATTTACACCTTGACTTTTGCCTTGCCAGTCATCTCTTAAGTGTTTGATAAAATGCTTATCTGCCTGGATAAGTAAGGAGGAAAAGATTAGGGATGGAAGTGGGTGGGAATCAAAGTGACAGTCCCCAAAGAGGTGACTTTCAGCATAAACTGAGAAACTCCCCAAAATACAGTGAACCCTGGGAGAGCCGGAACTCGGAACTCGAGGGGACTGCCTTGTTTGTTGGGGTCTCATTGGTTTTCTGCCTTTGTTGGGGTGCAGTCTTAGCACTCCTCTGTCAGTTGTTTTATTTATTTATTTGATTGTAGTTTGGGTGAAAGTTTACACAGCAAGTTAGTTTTCTGTTCCGCAATTTCAACACACTTTGTTTCATGAAGTTGATTGCAATCCCTTCAATGTAATAGCACTCTCTTCCCGCTTCCTCCCTGGGTTCCCTCAATCCCTTGTTTTAGTGGAAAACGTTTGCATTTTCTTTGGTTGCAATCCCCTCAATATAACAGCACTTTCTTCCCTGGGTCCTAATATCGCTTCTTTCCGTGGGAAACACTCGCGTTTTCTTTCTCTGACAGATTTCCGCCTGACCCAGGTCCCGCTTTCACAGGTTTTATTGTATAACATTCAAATAAATGCCCCTCCCCCTCTGCTTTCCAAGTAATCATAAAAGAAGGAGATTTAAGAGACATAGTGACAGTAGCATCCACACAAATCTCTCATGATGCCTCTCCTTTGAGTTGAAATTCGGACACAGACGGGTGAACATTAGTGGCTGTTGGGTTTGAACCGCCAGCCTTCTGGTTAGCAGTCAAGTGCCTTAGGCACTACGCTATCAGAGCTCCTTTGCTACAAAACAAAACAAAACAAAAAGGCAAGGACAGCAGTAGCAGCAAGCGCTGTTCTGTCTTCCTCTTATTCTACAGCCTTTTCACTGAATGGAGGGAGGGAGGTGGAGGGTTAAGGATGCCAAAGCTTTCTCTTCAATTGTCCCGTTCCAATATTTCTCCACAATTTCTTCGCCCCAACCTCTGATATCTGAAGAGAAGCTATTTTTGCTATTTTACAATCAAGTTGTATCCAAGACCCAAAAAGAGGGCTATTTTAAAAGGATGCATCCAAAAGGTATATGAACCTCCTTTTGGAGGTTATGATAAATAGAAGGAAACTTGGTAACCAGCCCAATGTTAAATTCTTACCCCAAGCCACCAGAACAATTAGCTGTACTCACTCAAAAATATTTTTACCTGTCCATAATTGTCTATTCCAGATATTAATCTATTGAGATTTAACAAATCAAATGAGGATCTCAGAGCCTGACCAAGAGTAGTCAGTCCAGAAGCCTGAAGATGTTTTAGTTCACTCATGAACGTTGCGTGATTTTCCTTCCAACCAGCCTGAAAACCAAACATTTGCAAAGAAATTCCTGATTAGCCAATGGACAATAGGTAAAGTGCAAACAATCATTAAATAGCAAATATCCAACCTCTAACAAGTTACCACCCATCGTCACAAGTCAGAATCAACTTGATGGCAACTGGCGTGGTTTGGTTTGGTTTTTGGACCTAATTCTATCGTACACCTTGCCTGATGAAGCCCGCTTTAATGACCAAGAGCAAGAGGACTCAAGGAAACCATACGCTCATCCATTATAGCTGAAGGGCTTTGGCTCAAGAGGTCGACTCTTCTATTCAGGCTCAACCAAACCTACCAAAACATCCGTAACCTTAGCTTGACACAGATGACGAGCATGGCGTAAGGGGAGGGGGAAGGAGTAGTTATTATTGAAATGCCTGGTCCTTGACAGAGACAAATAATGAGCTATCGAGCACCAGATCTGTGTGCATTGTTCTAACCATGGCTCTTCCTCCTGAATAATGTTCTCACTTTTCACTGAGAGTTAAGGGGAGATGATAGGAATGGAAACAATGATTTGGAAACACCCTTTCTGGCATCTTCAGGGATTCAGAAAGCTCTCAATCTTGAAAAAGAGGGGAAAGAGAATAAGCGTTAGCAAAGAAGCAGCAACAAGGAACAGCAGCAAAGGCCCAAAGAGTCCAGGACAACAGCCAACATGCTCTGACTGGCTGGTCTGCAGATGGGAAGGACGGACAGAATCACACTAATTCGTCAGTGATGGCTATAAAAACAAAGCAGCACAGACGGCCCATGAGAGAAGCCAACAGGGGGTGACAGAGCAGTGGGCCAGCAAGAGCCAGCGCTGACAGCACAGCGTGGCAAGGCGGAAGAGCCACCTGTGCCTCAGAAGCCCTGGGGGCAGCAGTGTGACCGCTCAATGCTGAAGTCCCGCCAAGCAGGCCGAGTCACAGCCTCAGGAGGTGGGGCGGAAAGCAAGAGCAAATAGCATAGCGATAAACGGAATGATTATTGTCCATTATCCATACAAGTATAACAGCAACCCCTCCTTGGGTTTCCGAGGAGGTATCACTACAGAAGTAGATCGCCCAATCTTCCTTCCGAAGAGTGGCTGGTGGGTTTGAACCACCAGCCTTCTGGTTAGCAGTCAAGTGCCTCAGGCACTACGCTACCAGAGCTCCTTTTTTTGTTTGTTTGTTTGTTTGTTTTATAGCAAAGGAGCTCTGGTAGCGTAGTGCCTGAGGCACTTGACTGCCAGAAGGCTGGCGGTTCAAACCCAACAGCCACTCCTCGGAAGGAAGGTTGGGCGATCTACTTCCGTAGAGAAAGTGCCAAGGAGAAGCCGTTATGAGTCAGAATCGACTCCATGGCAGTGAATTTTTTTTCTTTTTTTGGTTTGCAAATGATTGAGATCCAGACAGAAGGCAGGTTATTTCCTGGAATCTACCTTGAAAGATCTGAGCGACCTTTAGCAAACCTGTTCGCTTCTTAGGACCTAAATTTCCTCATTTGAAAAGGAAGAAAGATTAGGTAAGCAGGAATTGCCTCCTGAAGTTGTGCAGGTTACAAACCTCAAAGGAAGAGTGTCAGTCCCATTGTAACCTGTGGCAATGGTGCCCCCTAGTGTTGAACAGTACACTATGCATAACCAAACAAGGTGAAAGAAGGTGGTCCCGGCTAAAATTGGCTTCTGGTCTAGTAGTCTCAGATTCTGTTAAGTGAAAGATGTGCTTTAAACAAACAAACAAACAAAATTCTAACATTATCTCACAGGCCAAAAGATCTAAAGGTCAAACTTTCCCACGTGTTCCTGTGACCAGTTTGTATACATTACCTGTAGATAGTACCCAGGGAAAGTAGGAAATAAGAATAATTCCTTGTGGCCCAAGGAAAATCTTACTGGACTAAACAAACGAAATTTTAGTAAAAAGGAAGGATTAGGATTTAAACTGTCCTCATAAAATACCTAGAAAAACTAGCAGGTGATTTACAAATCACACTGACTTCTGAAATTAGCTTCCTCTTTGAAACACTACTTGTCTGTCAGTTTGTCCTGCTGCAGTAGCTTGCATGTTACTGTGAGGCTGGAGGCTATGTCACTGCCATTTCAAATACCAGCAGGGTCACCCACGGTGGAGAGGTTTCAGCAGAGCTTCCAGACCAAGACAGACTCAGAAGAAGGAAGGGGCCATCTATTTCTCAAATTGGCCAGTGGAAACCTTATGAATAGCAGTGAAACACTGATCTATTACTGGAAAACTTTGTGAGGAGGCCTGCAACACTGTCCGACATAGTGCCAGAAGATGAGCCCCTCAGGTCAGAAGGCACTCAAAACACGACTGGGGAAGAGCTGCCTCCTCAAAGTAGAGTTGACCTTAATGAGGAGGATGGAGTAAAGCTTTTGGGACCTCCATCTACTGATGTGGCATGACTCAAAATAGGAAGACACAGCTCCAAACATCAAGGACTGTGAGGCTGGCGCAGGATCAGGCAGTGTTTCGTCCTGTTGTACAGAGGGTCGGTAGGAGGCGGAGCCGACTCAATGGCAACCAACTAAGTAACTAACTTTGGAACAGAGAAAAGGTGCACAGGGAAGTGGTAGTATTAATTCTTTCTTTATTTATTCAACATGTTTTTATTGAGCAACTGTGCTATGTTGGGAAGGATGCCACATGCTCTGTATGAGAGGAGTTAGCTTTCGAGGAGTTCCTGTCACAAAGGGATAAGGATTCAAGTGATGGAGACTGAAAAACAAGTGACCAGAGAGTGAGGAAAGGTTTCTCACAGAAGACGGGGCATCTGAGGAAGTCTTGCAGAATGAGGAGTCCCTGGGTGGTGCCCACAGTCAACAGGCTTGATTGGGAACCAAAAGTTGGTGGTGGCTCAAACCCACCCAGAGATACCTCTGAAGGCCTGGTTCTCCACTTCCGACAAACCAGGCATTGAAAACTCAACTCAGACACACATGGGGTCTTGTTTACAGGAAGAAGAGGAGATCACGTGACTCCCCACAATGGGTGGGGACTGGAGGGGGCATCCCAAGGAAAGGCCTCCCTAGAGAGTCACAGTGATGTGATTATCTATTGTTCTGTGCACATGGCAGGAGGCTAGGCTGATGAGTTGAGGTCACACAGTCAAGTGCTTTGTACATCAGGCTAAGTAGTTGGATTGTATCTGTTGGCCCTGGGAATAACTTGACATTTTCAACTGGGCAAGTGGCATGATCAGCTCTGTGCTTTAGAAAGACCAATCTGCTGGTAGTTGGAGAATAAATTGTGGGGTGGAGGAGAGGCTGAAGCTTGAGGCAGGGAATCATGTTTGGAGACTCACATTAGCTCCTGAGAACAGTGACGTGAGCCTGAGCGCGGGCAGAGGGGCTGGGGAGCAGGCTACATGTTAAAGACGGTTCAGAGACGGCATCGTAAAGATGTGGGAACCAATTAGAGGGATGGCTGGGGGGAAAGGGTCACACGTGAGGTTGAGTTTTCTGGCTTGGGCAAACGGGGGAATGGTGGGGCCCTTTACCCAGAAGCCACTTTACAGAGCTGACCTTTTTTTTTTCCAGTTACTTACATTAGCAACCTTACTTCCACACAGTAAATTTATACACAGTTCTATCGACAGCAGCATTGCACTCCCGAAGAGGCACATGATAGTGATTAAGATAACATTGGTGGATTATTTACTTTGGATGCAATCCCTGAGTGGGGCAAATGGTTAAGCAGTGCACTTCCAGCTGAAAGGTTGGCGGTTCAAACTCATTCAGAGGCACCTTGGAAGAAAGGACTGCTAATCTGTTTTTGGAAAGGTCATGGCCTTGCAAACTGTCTGGAGCACAGTTCTGCTCTGTGCACACGGGTCGCCAGGAGTCAGAACTGACTCGATGGCAACCAACCATAACAACAATTTGATTTGGTGATAGGTTGAGATGAGATTTGGCTACCACGTGAGCAACCGGTCTATCAATATTTAAAATAATGTGTGCTAATTATTAGTAGCCTTATTAATCACTCTTTCAGAATAATTACGCTTTAAAATTTCCTGCATAATATGGATTGGAGGCATTTTCTAAGTAGTTTCTGTGTCTGAATCATGGGCATTCTGCTTCTGGGTCAATTCTACTTCTTGGCAATGAATTGAACAATTCAAAAGAATTGTGAATGTCCCTCCCACATCGGTACTACAGAATGTATGTGCTACATTTATGACCAAAAGCAATAAACTTCTTGGTAACAGCCCAGTTCCTGTTTCAAGAGAGAAAATAAATGTCTCTCAAGCCATTCCTCAAAATGTTGAAAAGTTAAAAAAAAAAAAAAAAAAGGCCAACAGATGAACTGAAATTTGACAACTGAACTTTGGACAGGTTCTCAGGAGGAACCAGTTCCTGGAGAAGGCCATCATGCTTAGTAAAGCAGAGGGTCAGCAGAAAGAGGAAGACCTTCAAGGAGATGGATTGACCCAATGGCTGCAATGATGGGCCCAAGCACAGCCAAGATTGTGAGGATAGCGCAGGACTGGGCAGTGTTTTGTTCTGTTGTACTCAAGGTCACTATTAGTCAGAACCGACTTGATGACTCCTACAACACAATCCAAATATTGAATGTTGAAGTGATGGAAAAAGGCCCACAGCTGAACTGAAATATTCAGAGAACCTTATTAATGTGGCGAGTTTCCTCCCAAAAGATAATTATGAAGAGAGAGGGTGACAAAGTGATACAGTTATATTTTTCATTCATTGCTTAGAGTTAATTTTTTCACAAATGAATTCCAAGCAGCTAATTTGCCTTCTTAAAGAAGGTCTTCTTTTTCAAATTATTTTACTCCAAAAATATCCTACTGCCATGCCAGTGAAACCTTTCCTTCCAGTAAGAACTTCTATACATTTTACAGAACTTGAGCTTACAAAGTACTTTCACTCTGCACATTCACTCAGGACAACCCTATAAAATAGGTTGAGAATTGCATCCCTACTACTATGATTACAAATGTCTGACATTATAGCCCCTGGCCAGACGTGGCT